GTCATGAGGAAGGAACCATCTATCAAGTTCTACTAAAAAATATTGATGGAAAATTAGCAAAAAAAGAGTCAAATATGGTGACTTCATTATTTTCAGGTCAGTGAGAATTGTTCGACGCATTTGGAAACGAGTAAAAGAAAGTGACACTCATGATTTGTGTAAAAGAAAGGTAAAAAATTGTGAAGATATGAGAATTCAAATTGATATTTTTAAACTTTTTGAAATCTCTTCAAGTCGACGAATAACTTTTAGATCTTTAGCTTGTGTCTTAAGTATAAATTCAACTTCTGTATTTAGGATTCTAAGGTGATACATGACGATATTCAAATGTCATAAAGTCACTTTAGATGAAAATAGAAGATCTTTATTGGAGTTTTGCTTATCAATGCTTGAAGGTATACTACTTGATTCAAAGTTTAAAAAAATACATTACATCATTCATATAGATGAGACATGGTTTTATATGATAAGAAAGAATTATTATTTACTACCATAAGAGGATCACATCGCACTTCTGAAAACAAAAGTTTTATTGTAAAAGTTATGTTTTTTGTCGTTCTAACTCAACGAAGTTTGATTCACAAGAAAATGAGGTGTTCTCATGAAAAATTGGTGTTTTTTCATTTGTTACTCAAGAACCTATTAAAAGGATAAGTGTTAAAAACAAATAAAAGCAATAACTTCAATAAATAGTGAAGTAATAAGATATTTTTTATTAAAAGAAGTTATTCCAAATATATAGGAAAAATAGTTAAGAGAAAATTTAAATTCTTGAAATATATATATATATATATATATATATATATATATATATATATATATATATATATATATATCCAACAAGATAATATGAAAATGACTTTAAGTTTCTTCTTGTACCTACAAAAGATGGGTTTGATATTGATCGGATGTGCACTAGTGCAAAAAGGGGCTTTTACGTCAGGTATTTAGGGCTTTTTACGTCGTATTTAAGTCCGACGTTAAAGCGGGAGACGTAAATTTACGTCGGACCCTTTTGCCCGACGTAGATTTACGTCAGTTATCAAGATCCGACGTAGATTTACAATAAACAGACGTAAAAACCTTTTCAATTTAAAAAAAAAAAAAACAAAAAATTTACGTCGTATATGGTATACGCGACGTAAATTTACGTCGCATATACCAATACGCGACGTAAATTTACGTCGCATATACCAATACGCGACGTAAATTTACGTCTCAAGTTTCTTGGCTCTGCACCAAATTCTGGAAAGGTTTTATCAATCCTTTTCCATTATGGAGAATCAGCTGGATGTCGAAGAAGATTGTCACATTTTCTACCATTTGCATGCCATGTCAAGTTTCTTGCATCTTCTTTTATGGCAAATAATCTTTTAAACCTAGGTATAATTGGCAAATACCATAACACCTTAGCAGGGGGACCATCTACTTCTTCCTCACCACTACTTTCCTCAACTTTGTTTTTGAACCTCGACAAACCACATGTCGGACACATCTTTAATTTAGCAAAATCCTTTCTGTACAATATACAATCATTAGGACATGCATGTATTTTCTTGTACTCTAAACCCATTGGACATAATATCTTCTTTGCCTCATAGTTACGAATAGGTAATGTATTATCTTCAGGAAGCATCTCCTTCAACAACTCCAATAATTCGGTGAAACTTTTATCAGTCCATCCATTTCTTGCTTTTAAAGTAAACAATTTTAAAGTTGCTCATAATCTTGTAAAACTACATCCTATGTACAATTGTTGCGCAAAATCAGATTTCAAAGAATCATATAGATGTGCTTTCATAAAATTTTCTTCATCAATATCACGTATCATATCCTCTAGATTATCATCCATCCCTTCATCAAAATTGTCTGTAGTTGACACAGTTGGGATGTCTAATATTTCTCCATGCCATGTCCATATTGTATAACTCTTAATAATACCATAAACAAACAAGTGATCACGTATATCCTCAAGTTTATGACGAATTTGATTCAAACAACGAACACATGGACAATAATATGTCCCTTTCATAGCTTTTCCATTCTCACTAGCAAATTTCAAAAATTCCTCAACTCTCTTTTCGTATTCTTCACTAATACGACGTGCATTCATCCAACTTCGATTCATATTATGTTATAAAGTTTCGTCACTCCTAAAGATTTAAAAATTATATGTAAAAAAATTAATATACAAACAACAAATCACGTTCCAACAACAATGGAGTTTGTAAACCGAATGCACTCAAACAAATAAACAAATAATTACATTCCAATAACAATGCGGTGGAGACATTCATACTATAACGTGATTGAGATCCCCAAAAACAATCACGGGACATAGAACACTAACCTCGAGTGTAGACGAAAACTGATTTCAAACTCGATTCCAATCGGGCAGAAAGATCAAGTTCGTCAAATGACACGATAATGTAGATGTTTTTCACTGTAAAACTGCTCGAAAATGGTGTGCAGAGGTAGCTGTTGTCGTCATTCTCAAAAACCCTGGTTGCGCGAGACGAGGAAGTGGGTCTGGAGGGAAATAAAATAGACTTTTTACGTCGCGCATCCCAGCACGCGACGTAAAAAGCCATCTTTTACGTCGCGTGCTGGGATGTGCGACGTAAAATTTTTGTCCCATATTTACAAAATTGCCACCGCATTTTATTTACGTCGAATATACATGCATGTGACGACAATTGGGTGACGTAAAAGTCCTATTCTGCACTAGTGGTGTTTACCAACTTCTTCATATTTAAATTTGTGTTTGTATCTATGAATATTGTTATTAATATTACGAGAGACTAGAATTATATTAAAATGAGTATGTCTATAATTGTTGATTTGAAATGATTTGGGAAGAAAGGTATGTCAAAATCATGCACAATAAAACTTCTCTTGAAATTGAGTTGCTAATTGAGGGAATGTCTATATTATCCTCTCTCAACGTTTCTTATATGCAGTATTTCAACATTACATATTCTCTTATACAATACTTTAATTTTTCAGCTACCTCTTCATAAGACATTAATAAACAGTAATGAAAATTTGCATTGGGTTTCTCGTGCATTGACTAATATTATAAAAGGAGAACGAATGTATGCTTGTGATTTAGATTTGCAGTAGTGTGAATGATTGAGTGATCGAGCCAAGCAAAGGAACCATAACATTACAGGAGCGGTAGTGCTACTTTCATATATCCATGTCTAGTCCAATAAGTCACATGGTCAACTTTCTTCTACCATAGCTTATAATTTCATTTATTTAAGATGTCAAATTACATATCATTGCAATGTAAGGAATCACCTAAAACAATTCATGAATTAGTCCAATCATAAAGGTTCCAATAAATATAAAACTCCACGTATTAATAAGCTAGATTAAAAAGAAAGAAAGAATTATATATTAAAATGAAATGTAATCAAATATTAGTAAAAAAAATAAATTATTTAAATATTAATTTAATGTTTAATTTGATGTTTCACCATTCAAATTCTTTCTCTGTCGTTGTAAGACAAAAATTACTAAAGAAATTTTCAAATTCAAGATTTATCTTTAAAAAATATAAAATAATAATTTATGATATTAATAATTTATGATATTAATAATTTATCATTAATTTTAAAGAATTCATTTTCTTTCGTATTATTTATTTATTTATTTATTTATTTATTTTTATAAGTTATTAATAAAACTATATAAAAAAAACTAAATAACTTATATCATATTATAGAGAATTGTTTTAAGTAACTAACATTTTATTTCATCATCCCAATAAAATAATTTTATTAAAAATATTTTAAAATTATTTATATATATTACTCGGTTGTTAACGTTCAGATAAATTAAGCTTATAATAAACAATTTACTTTATACATAAACTATGAAGTTATGTTTCGTTTACTTTAACTTTTTAATAAATAATACTTTTTAGGAATGCTTTTAGCTATTTTTTTTTTGTTTTAAAAAGAAACTCTCGGAGACATACGACAATCTAATCGTTTGGATTGAAATGAAAATTGTAATTAAAAAATATATCATGCTAAGCTTATTAAATAATTTAACACACTAAGCAATTAAATATTTTAATAAAAAAATAATTTCTAAAAAAATTGTATAAATGTTCTCATCAATATTTTTTAATAACCGATTAAAATTTTTAATTATTTCGAGAATTCACGATTTTGATTATGACAAAAATTATTTGGTAGAAAAGTCTTTTACGGAAATTTATTCATCATCCTAATTATTTTTTAAATATTATTAAAATAATTAAATTAACTATAGCAAATAGGCTTTATGATAAAACTTTTTACGAGAATTTTAAAATATTTGTTTTGGTTGTTTGAAGAAAAAAGACAAGTAACATCTATCTCATGGTCAAACTTTGTAACTAAAGTGACAATCCCAAGTATCAGCTTTTATTTTATAATTGTGATTGAAAAATTAAAATTAATATCTAAAATCTCGTGAAAATCTTATATGTAAATAAAATAACTATCATTAAATTATTTAATTATTTTAATAATGAGAATTCAAATCCGTTAAAATTAAATTCGATTAATAATATTTTAATAAAAGAGATATAAATTTAAGTGAATTTTTTTTTAATCACTTAGGTGTATTCAAGATTTAGGTGGTGAATTTAGTAAATCATATATTACTTGGAAATGATGTGGTGTGAAGATGTTATGTTAGAGTATGGAAGATGAAGTGATATTCAAATAATATAAAAAGCACGCCAAGAATGAACCCTCTTACCGATTCATCGTTCTTCAACTTCTTCATTGGACAACGGTCAACGTTCAAATTCTCCTCTTCAACTTTGAATCTTCCTTCTTCAATTCTCTTCTCTTCGCCTCCAATCCAACTACTCTCTCTCTCTATATATATATATGTATATATTACATGAAACATGTTTAACATAAACATAAACAAAAATTAAACACCAAACAAGAAAACAAACAAACAAGCTTCAAACTCCATATCCTCTGCAAAGCAAAATGGTTATGGGTTGGAGAATACTGAGGAGAGGGAAAAAGAAGAAGATGCAGCAACGCAAGGTGGAGGAGGTGGTCACTCCCAACCACTTCCGGTGCCCGATTTCTCTGGAGTTGATGAAAGATCCGGTCACGCTCTGCACGGGCATTACATACGATCGACACTCCATAGAAACGTGGTTTGACCAAGGCAGCTTCACATGCCCCCTCACCAACCACATCGTCTCCAACTTCGATCTCATTCCCAACCACACGTTGAGGATCATCATCCAAGATTGGTGCGTGGAGAATCAACACTCTGGCGTTCAAAGAATCCCAACCCCGAGAGTACCCATCACCCCAATCCAGGTACACCAACTCCTTCTCCTTCTGCATGCCAAGGCCTCGCGGCTCGACCAACACGCCTGCCTTGAATCGGTGCACAACATTCAGAGATGGGCTGCGGAGAGCAAGAGAAACATGCGTTGTATAGTGGAGAATGGAGCACCAACTGCGTTAGCCTCTGCGTTTCATGCGTTTGCTAATGCTAGTGTGAGTGACTCCATGGAGAACAATGTCTATGTGAGTGTGCTTCATCAGATTTTGTCGGCTCTCAACTCCATGTTTCCAACCGAATTCGAAGCTCATAATCATTTGGGGTCTCCACCTTCTTTACGTTGCATGGTTTCGTTTCTTAGGCGACAGGATCTCTCGGGGAAAGAGAACTCCATTGTCGCACTCAAAGACCTTCTTTCTTTTGGTCATCATCAACACCTCGAGGCTTTGGCGCAAATTGAAGGAATTAACCAACTTTTGCTCGAATTTCTTAACCAAAGAATTTATGGTCCAACCATCGTGAAAGCTTCCTTGGCGGTAGTCTGGTATTTGGTTTCGTCGTCCTCTCCTTGTAGCCACAAAATGAGATTGAAGTTTATTGAATTGGGTATGGTTTCTTTGGTGCTCGACATTCTCGTTGACTCGGAAAAGAGCCTCTGTGAGAACGGTCTCGCTGTTCTTGACTCCCTCTGCGCTTGTGAAGAAGGAAGAGAAAAAGCTTATGGTAATGCGTTGGCGATTCCTCTTCTGGTGAAGAAATTGTTGCGAGTTTCATCGTTGGGCTCGGATTACTGTGTTTCTTCCATTTGGAAGCTATGCAAATTTGGAGAAGAAATGGTTCTTCTGGAGGCCCTGCATGTGGGTGCATTTCAGAAGCTTTTGCTGGTATTGCAGGTTGGTTGTGGTGATGAGACGAAAGAGAAAGCAACCGAACTTCTCAAATTGCTCAATCCTTACAGGGATGGCGCAATAGAATGCATTGATTCGGATTTCAAGAACCTTAAGAGATCAATTTAAGATTGTTTCCTTTCTGCATGCATGCCTTCAAGGGGTTTGAACATCCCATGAAAGAGAGACATTATGTACATATCAAATTGCTAATAGTTAAGGTTGATTTGGTTAACAATTTTCAATTTGCAGTTCCAAGTACATCATGTATCTTGCACAATAAGGCCACTTGAGGTGGATCGAAGGATGTTTAATTACTTCAATAGGGTTATAATAAATGTTGTTCTAAAATTTCCCTTTAGCAAAGAATTAAATGATTTACAGAGAGTTTGAAGCTCAAATATTAAAATGTAGCTCTAACATATAAGCAAATTATTTGGCCAAGATATCAGCGCTTCTTTTCCCTATTAATTTCATGCTCCTTTCAAGTCAAAGAGAGAACCACTTCAAAGTTTATCACAACAATGCTGATAAATTGTGATAAATAGCGTTACTGTTAAACATATAAAAGATAACTTCTGAAAGAAATCTTATTTAGTGGCTGGCTTATTTTATATGAATCAGACCACACCATTTTGGTTCGAGATTTTTACACACCTCTCGTTAACATGAGTAAGTACATGTTTGATCAATCCAAGATGAATGTGGATCCGAAGAAGATTATTCATGAGTCCAAAATGAACAACTCAAGTTTCAAAGTTCAGCTTTCAAAGAGAGAGCTAGTCCTAATTTGTTGGAAGAATGAGATTGAGGTTGGCCATTATTGGCCAATATACCTAAATGCGACTCGAAGCTATAGTCTATTAGAGTAACAACTGTAAATATTAAATACATATCATGCTGAACTGAAATTATTAATACATGACACAGGATCTATTTGAGCTTCATTCACTAGAAATAGCTTCTCATCGTTGTTAATCATGTCTACGTAAAGAATTTTTCCACCTTGTTCTGACAAAATATAGGAATTGTTTGTAGTTTCCAAATGTTTCCCAGCTTCCTTCATAAGCTCTTCAATGCTCTGTGGAACCCATAGCACCACTCCCTCTTTTTTATCCGCTTTGTGATCCCATGGGTGGAAAGGATACACTATACATCTCCTTTTTGGAATTTCATTTGTTGACTGCAACATTGGTGTTGCTGCACAATTGATGAACGTACAATAACTGTTAGAATGCTTCCATGAAAAAAAAAAGTGATTTCACATACAACTCCAATTATTTATTGATTCCTTAACTAGTACTACTACTCTTAGGACACTGGTTCTTAGGACACCGGTTAGCAAAACCATAAATGGAAATTCTAGGACATGATATGAACGCTTTTAGTGAACTTAAATTGGTTTCACATAACATTCGAAAGGAAGTGCAGAGTATTTAACATTCCCAGGTTCAAATTCCAATGTGCCGAACACCTAAAGATGATCTTCAATGGAATTCTGTACTCAGAAACATAATGATACCTGGAGTTTCATGAATATCATAGGACAACTCTGCCAACTGAGAAACTTTTGCAACTTCAAGCATTTTGATCATATTTCTATTTCCACCAGTATGAGCTTCATGAAGAGGTGTATTTCCCCATCTGCCATAGGGAAGTATTGAAACATGTTCTTTTGCAATTCAATAAACAAGCCAACTATGGTATTTTATGATCCTTCCAAGTGAGCAATGAATATAAAGTGCTATATCCAAGATATCTGGACCATACCTGTCCTTAGATAAAACACTTGCTCCTGCTTCTAGAAGTAATTCAACCATTGTAAAGAAACCTTCAGAGGCAGCAATGTGAAGAGGGGTACGTTGATCATAATTTCTGGCATTCGGATTAACACCACAAGCTAGAACCCTTTTTAAAAGGTCAAACTCCTTCTTTGCAACTGTCATGCAGAGAAAATTGCCAACGTCATCAATGGTAAGGATAGCTCCCGCGTTAACAAGTACAGATGCTACTTCTTCATGTCCATTCTTGATGGCTTCAAGCAAGGGAGTGGTGCCAAATTTATCTATAAAACAAATGGATGTTTCAAAATATAACAGTATTTTTCGCTTCAAATATGCAAATTTAATAAAATATTATCTGTGATTTGGGCTTCAAACTTCCAAAAATCTAACCTGCAGCATTGATGTTTACTCCTTGTTCAACAAGATAGGAAGAAATATCCACATATCCTTTTGATGCTGAGATATGCTGTTATAACAAACAAAATCTGATTAATAAAAAGCACTTTCTCACCGTTTAATCACTTCACTATCCAATGCTCTTTCTTATGTTTTTTTTAAACAGAGAAATAAGGTACACTATGAAGGCCTGCCATTAACCTATGAATTATACAGTACACTAGTTTTTGTCTGGGGCTACTGCGTGGAGTATTAGTTCATCCACAGATTTATTTACAAGATTCACAATCTTATACAGTAAAGACTAGAGACAAATTTATTTACAAGCAATGTGAGAATATAGAGATAATTGGTTGTGACTGAGTTGATGAAAACTGGTTGTGCATACCAAGGGTGTTCGACCATCATAATCAGTTTTCCTGGGATCTGCCCCAAATCCAATGAAACGTTTGACAAGATCAAGATGACCATCATGGGCAGCACAGTTGAGTTTTGTAGCAAGCTCTGTTTCCATGTTTCGAACAGTGAGGTTGAAGTCTGATAACAAAAGCTTACGCTGGAGATTTAAGTCTCTTACCTGTCACCCAAGTATAAGCATCAATTTTACAATTTCTATCAAAGGCCTAACAATTCTTTTCCCATGCTTCAAATGTTAACTACTTCAGGTAAAAAAAAAAGCAGTTGTATCCTTTTAAGATTTGTTTTCCTTTAAAAAACTAGTTTTGTTATTTAAATGCTTCATACTTCCACTGAAAATTATCTGTCACTAATTTAAATTAATTAATCACTATTCAAAGGCATATTAATGTTTTCTTATTTTATAATGTCTTTAACCCTTGTTGAGACCCCTTTTTTTTCAGTTCTTTTTGTTTTGCTTTTGAAACATATTGCGAGTTTTTTACTACTGCTAGTTAACAGTACAGACATGTTTCATGTTATTCTAATTTTTTCTATTCATTAATTAATTAGATCTTATTCAAAATTATATACCCACATAAAATTACAAAACCAAATACAAGTTTCAACAGTCATAATAAAATAAGGTAACGTTTTTTACTTCTTTTAAATCACAACATACCTCAAGGAGATTGTTCAAGACAACACGACCGTCTAGAAAGTATATCTTGAGTATTTCAGAGAAGGATTTTTTATCAAGTCGCAAAACCTTGCAAAATTCATGAGCTTCAACAGTAGAATTTTGAGGTATATTGCAAAAAAAAGAAATATGGCCGAAGAAACTATAGGTGTGCAATGTGATTGTCTCTTCTTCTGTATAACCGTCTTCCCCCCTTTTCTCACGCTGTTGACAAGAAGAATAGTTGTCAAGCCAGATTCCAAAACGAGATACAAAACAATTCATCATTAAAATTGCCATTTTATGCATATCTGTAATGCGTAATATTAGTTCTATTTCATGGTTTTGTATGAAATTTTGTTTAATGTTCCTCACTTATACACATCAGGTAGTTGTTTCAAACAATATAAGCAACTATTCAACTCAGATGTTGGCATACTATCGCAACAATCAAGAAATGCAAATTCTGAATGCATTGAAGATGTTCCTCCGAATTTCCCAAAAAATTAGAAACAGGGTATACATATACACAATGATGAGTTACTGGAATTCTTACCAGCTCACCATGATATACAAAGTAGAGTTTATCTGCTACATCTCCTAGCTCCGTTACTAATTCTCCTGGGAGGAAAAACTCTTCATTGACTTTGGTTGCCTGTGAAAACAAATTTTGAATTACACATTTCTGATGAAAACAAGTGTGATCTCACCATACAGACGCAATCACATGATCAAATAAGTTACAAAGATCCATGTAAACAATAAAACAAGAGTTAGGATTAGAACTCTGATATCCTAGATGATACAGTGTGAGCATATAAACCCTTCATTTCTTACGATCTGCTTTATAAACCCTGAAGAACATCCCTTGAAAACAGAAACTTTCTGAATGAACTGTTCGTACAAGCTTATTGAAATCTGCAAGAAGGTATCAAGATTCACATAAATATCCGGAAAGTGATGAACAAAGTTGACATTTGAAGTAAAATACGATGAGATCATAAGTTCTGAAAATCTACATTAACCTCAAATGGGCGATGACAAATATATAAAGAAAGACCTTTGTACGAATGGTGGTTGGTATCTCCTGAAGAAAAGAAGATCCCGAGTAACTTGGATCATACTTTAACCTCAAATGATCTTTAATTTGACGACATATCTGGCTGTCTAATTTGTTCTTATTCACGTACTTCATGATATCAGACATTTGATCTCTGAATTTCTCTGTCTTAGACCCTTTGACAATCAACGCAGTCATGTTACCGAGAAGGTACGCGCCAAGAATCATGTCAAAGGAGACATAAATCATGACGAATATCATCTCCCGAACATTGACCGCATGGATATCTCCGTAGCCTGCAAAACAAAGGATTTACAAAATAAGGTAACAGTTGAATATGAGAGTGAGGAAGCAGAGGAATGGAGGAACGGAAGGAGTATCTGACCGACGGTGGCCATGGTAACGATTGCAAAGTAGAGGGAGGTGACATAACGGTTCCAGAGATTGATGTGTCTGAAGTCAGAATATTCATAGTCACCCATTTTCAAGCTACCGATCCAAGTGTAACCCTCCTGGGAAGGGGGCAGAGTGGTGGCAAGATAGTAAAAAATGCATGCAGCGGTGTGAGTGCAGTAAAGTTCAACAACGAAGAGTTTGACGATTCTGGTGAACAAGTAATTGATACGAGTATCCTTCTCGAGGGTGTCGAAGAATTGGGTGACTCTGGAAGCACGAGTGAGTCTAATCCAAAGCATATAGCGAACGATCTCGTTGTTGTGGGTGAGCTTGTAGATGTAGTCCCAGGGGAAACAGGCGAGAAGATCGAAGAGGAAGCGAGACTTGAGGTACCTCATGGCGATTTGGTAGTGGTCGAGGACCAAGGAGAGGGAGTTGGAGTGAACTTGGTGATAGCCCAGGAAGAAGTGGAGGACGATGTCGATCAGGAACGCCAATTGCCCCGCGATGTCGAGGAGGAATATGTTGTGAGGTAAGCCTCGGAAGAAGCCGAACTCCATTGGAGTGAAGAAGGAAGAGTATATGGCCCATATCAGAATGAAGTGCTTCCACAACAGGTACCACCTGCATGCATGCATGCATGCACCATTCCCATTTCACAATTTTAGATTTCTTTATTATCTTGATGCATAAAAAATGTTAAAGGTGTTGTTGTACTATTATTTATATAATAATTGAATATCCCAAGTGGGAAGATTGGCTAAAAAAAGTATTAGTAATAAATAGGGTAACGTGACCCCTTGGAACAAACGAAGAGAGCAAAATAATGTTGAAGAAAGAGGTCCCTGTGTTCGATGAATGAATGAATTATGAACACCACTTTCTGGGCTTCAACGAAAAAGAAGGAAAGAATAAAAACTATTCTAAAGAAAAAGAAATTAAAAGGAGTATTTTGATTCTAAGTTTCTTCTTCTTGAGATCTTTATCATTTTCCAGGATATCCAAAGAAAGGGATATAACGAAGACCGATAAAATAGAAGAAGAAGAAAAACGATAATGCAGAAAGAAAGAAAATAGATAGATAGATAGAGACCGATTATGAGGATGAATGAGGAAACATCTCTGCATGTGAGTGGCACCGCCATAAGAACGGGTGAAGCTTGAACACGGGACACATCTCTGCATTATGTGTTCTTCTCTTCCTTCATGAGATGTTTAATTCATGAACAAATCCCAAAATTGTAACTTAAATAGCAGTGAAGAGGTGAGTGAGAGAGAGATATTTAATTACGTAAATTTCACTCACTCGCTCCCCTTTTGTGTTTTGGACGCTACCATTCTACCACCTTTTCATAAGCACATTCTAAAACAAATTCACGATTTTAGATTCTCGTTACCTCACTTTCCCTCTCATTTTAATCACTTTTATTTTCATTCTTTTATAAATTAATCCTTTTAAAAACACATCTCAATCAAGATAATAAAATATCTAATCTCCTTTAAGAAAAACACTGTGCATTTTGTCATGGAATAGAAAGAGAAAGAGAGAAAGAAAGTGGATACCACATAACATGATTGTTATTATTATACATAATGAGTGAAAGTTCATATTTGAAACCTGTGAGATGAGAACCTGGTTTTATTTTCTTTTGACCCTTTTCTTTCATTACTCTATTGATAATTGATAAAACACAAGCAGTAAGTTAAAAACCCATAACATGAGTTCACGCGAGAATGATGATCTTAATTAGAGCTAAGTAAAGTTTGGACATGGTGATGAAATTGGTAATCATTATGTAAGACTTTAACATGATAATTAAATACAGCGGTAACATTATATAATCATTATATAATCCCATTTTTCCTTTACAAAGTGTATTACTTTGGTTATTGGATAGCACTGACTGATATAATGTGAAGGCATCGAAGGAATAAAAAAATTTGATGTTTGAAAAATATATATATTCTTAAAGACGAGAGCGGTGAAACGAAAGTCCATTGCAGCATCAATTCCAAATTCAGATCCCAGTGGCATCCTATGCCATTTCAATCACTGCCATTTTGTGTTCGAATCGAATATATAAACCCTATCTCGCCGTTTTCCGTCACTACTTTTTCACTTCTCCGAGAGATTTTCTATCGTTAAAGGTTGGGAATGAGAGTACAGTAGAAATAAGAAGGCGTTTTTTACCAAAGAGGTTAAAAAAACTGAGTTTAGTACAGGAGTAAGAAAATTTAAAATTTTTCCAAAATGGGTTAAAGGAAGATGAGAAGGTTTAGGATGTTGAAAATGTGTTTGGTAGTACAATTTTATGTTTTTACATTAAATTTGCGTTACTTAATAGGGGTTTTTTGTCATAATTTTTTTAAAATATATTATTTATTAAATAATTATTTTTAATTGAATTATTAATTTAATAGAAAACAAAATTATTTAGATATTATTAAATTAAATTCATTATATTTATATTAAAATATTATATTATTTTAAAAAATATATAAATTTATTGTTGAAATGGACAGTTTGCACAGTTATGTTCTTCATTTCGACAAAAGAAACATTTTTTTTGTTTATTTTCAACTTATATATTCATTTCATTTCAAATCTGATTAGTTGTAGGTCTTCCTGATGTGTCTCGATGCATATTAGGATCAGGACAAAATTTTGAACATGTATAAACAAACCAATAATCTTCATTTTTAACTGATAAAATTGAAATACTTGTATCTTATGAATGTTTTGTAAGTTGTAAATTAGATTCATAGATACAGTCAGTTGTAAATGACAAGAAAAAAAAAACAATAACATAAGAACAAGGAAGTCGAAGAGCTTGAAATTCCCCACAATCACATCACCATTGATTTAATCTAACTGTGTAGCTTATTAATCTTCGACGATACTGAAGATTTGATTTGTCTTGTACGTCAAACTGATAATTATTTTGATTGTACCTTTGAACATGACACATTCGAGCACATTTTTCGTTTTTATTAAGCAGTAGTAACATATTCTTGATACTCATATTTAGTTCGTAACATGTACTATGCTTTTATATCTTTTTCCACATACCAAGATTTAATTATTTCTAAAGTTGTTTTTACTTAAACAAATATAGGTCAAATTCATGCTCTTTTGAAAACACAATTCATACACTCAACAAGATTTGTTATTATATGTATATATCGTTGAACTCTAATGAAATCTCATATAACTAAGACATTTATTATTAAAAGTCAAATATTAAAGTAGATAATTTTATTAAAAGTTTGAGTTGTTTTATCTCATATTAGTAAAAAAAATATAATTGTAGACATATTTTATTTAGAGAAAATAAGTTGTTTATATTAAAATATGTTACATAAAAAATAATTATTTAATAAATAATATATTTTAAAAAATAAACAAATCGTATTTTTTCACAAAATAAAATTAAGAATATGATTTTGGTTTAAAAAAAATAAGAAACTCGCTATATTACGTTTAACAAAAAAAAAATCAACATCATATTTCAAAGTATAATTTTAACGATGAAATCGTGTTTCCAACGATTTAATTTTGGAAAATTGAAAATTTTTGACTTTTTTTTATTAAAATCAAATTTTTTTCTTGACCCAGATGATTAAAAAATCCAAATAAAAAAATTGACATAAAATGAGAAAACTGCAAATATAACGTTTGAAGAGATTCTAAATTAAAAATTACGTCATGTTTTCATATATAATACATTCATAGTTCATTCGTTTTTCGAATACTTGCCATCGTTCATAAATATTTCTGGGTATTATTTTCATGTGAAATATCCAACTAAACACTCTTTTTCATTATGAGATGGGATGCTATGCAACAGAAAACAATGACGCTGACAAATTGTTCATTACAATATAAAGCTTGAACAATCTTAACAAAACGGTACCAAATTATTAAAATAGGTTATGGTAGTAGCTAGATACCAATTTCCAAATGGATAACAGTCAAAGAATACTAAGAATACGTAATGATTGAGAGTTGATTTAAAAAAATAAAACAAATGGTAAAAAAAGAATAATTGGATCATTTTTGGGTATCTTGAAAATAATAAATAGAAAAAGAAACCCCAAAACAAAGAGAAAGATAAAAATTAAAAAAATTAGATTTGAATGTGGTAGGTGCAGAAAGGAAGTCAGTGCTATAAAACCCAGGACCTACTGGGCCGGATAAATATGATTAATTGATCTAGGTTTCTTACACTCCATAATTTCTTTTTACACTTTCAATCATTCATGTAAAACGACTAAAATAATATTTTACTAATTTTTGTTTTAAATCTTATAAAATTTCTTTATTCTTTTGTTTCTCTACATCTTTTCTTCTCTGCACTTCCATAACTTCTGTATATTTGTTTTGTTGTCTTACCAATTCTGTTAAAGATCGTTTTCCACCCATAATATTAAAAACCGTTAATGTTTCTATTTATTATAGAATACTCACGGCCAATTTTCATAAAAATTGGATTAAAAGTATATATAAGAATCCAAATTGTATTTTTGTAGAATAATTAATTGGAATGCATTTTTAGAATACTAAATCTAAAAATGAATTCTAAAACTCAGAATTCAAAAATAAGTTTTAAAATAATTAATCTAAAATGCATTTTTAGACCATAAATTCTAAAAATGAATTCTAAAAATCATTTTTAGATTGAGAATTTAAAAAATACATTATGAAGTGGTGTTCTAAAAATATATTATAGAACAATCCATCTATAATATATTTTCATAATAATCAATTTAAAATATATTTCTAAACAACCAATACAAAATTTATTACATATTAGTTATTCTAAAACTTATTTTTGAATTGGATATTTTAAAAATATATTTTTGATTAGGTGTTTCAATTAATTAGAAATGTATTTCTAAAATACCTAATGTGAAATGTGTTTTGCAAATACCCGATCCATAACGTGTTTATGAAAAAACAAATATGAAAGTTTTGTTTCAACACGCAATCTTCTTATATTAAAAGATATTATGTTTGGAAAAAAATTGATAGAAATTAAAAATTGATTAAAAATTTTACTTATTTTTTAAAATAATGAATCTTTAATTGATAATAATAATTGAAAGAATAATGAAAATGTTTAAAAATTTAAAAATCAAATCATGTAAGGATTAAAAACAAAAAATAAGTCCAGAAAATAAATATATAAAAAATAATATTTATTTTAATTATGATATACAGAAAAAATCGTAAAAGCAGAAGAAATATAATCTCATAATTAATGTATAAGATTGATTTTATTGAATTGGATTTGGATGCAACTTGGAGGCGGCTATTAATTCTTCACTTCTAATCCTCATGTTTTGAGGTTGGTGGGTCCGTCATTATTCACATGTTTTGCAGCGACTTCACAAATGTGAGTGAGCCTTGGCTCGGGTTCATGGGCCATCAGGCCACCATGCCGAGCTTAAATAGTATGAACGTCAGATTCTTCTTACGACCCAGCGCTCACATCAATTCAGTGGCCCACCCCAAACTCTAAACCCACACTACCCAGTGAGATGCAAAACAAAAAAATAAAAATAAAAAAGATAGCACATTGAAAATGAGTGAATGGAGAGGACACATGTTCCTTCTTCCTTCCTTGCCTATCTCTTCCATATAAACGAATCCCACGCTCGCTCCTGATTCCACTCTTCCATTCCATAACTCTTCTCTCTCACTCTCTCGCATTCTTCTTTTCTATGGCCCTTGTCCGCGACCGCCGCCAACTCAATCTACGCCTTCCCCTCCCGGAGCCCTCCGACCGCCGCCACCGCTTCCCCCTCCCCCTTCCCCCTTCCTCCGCTGCCAACCCCGACGCCATTGCCCCCGCCGACATCGAAAAGCTTCACGTCCTCGGCCACGGCAACGGCGGCACAGTCTACAAAGTCCGCCACAAGCGCACCGCCATCATCTACGCCCTGAAGGTGGTCCACGGAGACTCGGACGCGGTCAACCGGAGGCAGGTTCGGCGAGAGATGGACATCCTCCGGCGAACGGACTCCCCGCACGTGGTCCAGTACCACGGGTTCTACGAGAAACCCTCCGGCGACGTGGCGATCCTGATGGAGTACATGGAATTGGGGACGCTGGAGACGCTCCTGAAAAGCAACGGCACCTTCTCGGAGGCCCAACTGGCGAGCGTGGCGCGTCAGGTTCTGAGCGGGCTGACTTACCTGCACGCCCACAAGATCATTCACCGCGACATCAAGCCCTCGAACCTTCTGGTGAACAAGAATATGGAGGTTAAGATTGGAGATTTTGGAGTGAGCAAGGTTATGAGTCGCACTCTGGACGCCTGCAATTCCTACGTGGGAACCTCCGCCTACATGAGCCCCGAGCGCTTCGACCCCGATTCCTACGGCGGCAATTACAACGGCTATGCGGCTGATATTTGGAGTTTGGGCCTCACTCTCTTCGAGCTCTACGTGGGCCACTTCCCCTTCCTTCCCATGGGCCAGAGGCCCGACTGGGCCACGCTTATGTGCGCCATTTGTTTCGCTGACCCACCCACCTTGCCCCCAACTGCTTCCCCCCACTTTCGGAGCTTCATTGGATCTTGTTTGATCAAAGACTCCTCTCAACGCTGGTCTGCCTCCCAGCTCTTGACACACCCCTTTCTTCTTCCTCCCTCTTAGCTCTCCCTATTCTCTCTCTCTCTCTCTCCCCTATTCCTTTCATCTCTTTATTTCTTCTCTTTTGTAACTATAACTATTTTGTGACATTAATTACTTTTTTCCCCTTTTTACAATCTTCAACAATTTATTTGATCCGGCCACCATAATAGAATTAAACCACGACAATGAAGTGCACGGCTCTGTAGAGAAGAGGAACTTACTAAATAAAGATTAACAATTTTGGAGTGGTGGGTGTCCAATTACTTGAAGAAGAAGAAGAAGAAGAAAGAAGAAGAAGAGGAAATGTGGAATAGTCTTACATTAAATTAAGAAGCAAGTTGGAAGCAAGCAACCCCCACTCTAGATAGTGGCATGATGACAACAACCAGCCGCCTCCAAATGAATCCAAATCAAAGACTCCAATATCATCTTCCATCAACCTCATCTTTTCTTTCAAAAATTAATGGAAAATGGGAGAGAAGCTAAGAGTGGCACATGTTTGGCAGCCGGAGAAAAACGGATGAATATCATATCATCTTCACCAATGTCAATGCATGAACGTGGATGCCCTTTTGCTTCCTTACTTATTACATATCATTTTCAATCACTCACCATCCTCACCTCGTCATTTTTGTCTTTTATTTCCACGTTTTCTACTTTTGGATTAGACACATCAATTTCATGCCCATCTTAATAATGGAGGACCCCTCCCAATATAGCATTTTTCATAAATACTTTTCATTTTATCGTCAATAATCGTATGCAATTTTCTCAATCCATAACTTCTACTTCTATGCATCACAAACAAAATGGGATTGTTTGCGTGCGACCAATAAAACGTGGTGCACTCCAAAGAAACACGAAAGCAAACTTTGAACAAGTCTTAAAAATGGTCTGGTTCCATCTTAGTTCATAATATTAACTCTCTCCCTCCCTCTACTAAGTGATAGAATTAATATATTTTTGTTGATGCTGTCTTCATTCCAATAAAAAATAGTTTTAGTTCAAATTGTCTCAAACACAGTGAGCAGAATGGATCATTTTGTGGCAAATATGAAACTTGCCTTCTCAAACTCAACACTCAATTATACTTAAATTTTACATTTATGTTTATGGAAGTTGTTAGAAGGACAAAGCCAACTTTAAGGTTTACAGACTAACAGCAGAAAGTCACCCTGAGTTGTATATCATACACAATTTTTCATGCTCTTGTGCCCTATATAACTCATCCAGATATACATCAGCATTTGTATGTCATAATGTCTACATCATGTAAAGAGGACTATAGTTTTTTTTTGGTACAAGACTCCAACAATATCTCCATTTCCATCATGTATATCTTGTATAGTCTGCGATCTACTACTAGGAACAAATAAGAAATATTTTGGTTTTTTCTGACTAAGTTTTCCGTACCTCTCACTTCTGACTTGTGTGTTGGTTTGGACTTATATAGTACATACGACACCAACTTCTACAAGAGCAGCATGAGGGATTTTAAGAGCCACAGGAGGTTCCCGACAATTTTTTTCGCTGAAACGATAGACCATGATTAGGAACCTCTTGAGAAAGTTTGAGCCATCACGCACCAATAAATGTGACTGGCCCAAGAAATAGGCACTGCCGCTCTCCCTGGCATCGATTAGCTCCAAGAGCTCCTTCCTGACAGATCCCTGCATTTTAGGACTATGATCGGGCAACATGAACCGAACCTTTTTTCTCTTGTTACAACGACTGTTACTCTCCAGCGCCTCATCGACCGGACTTATCTGAGATTCATTGTTCACCTGGCTTTGCCCCATGCATGATGAGTCAAAATCATCCAGAGGAACTAAAGCATTTCCATCAACTGTTGAATGTCCAACAAAGATCATTCTTTCATCTGGGGAAACCATGGACTCTATGTCATTCTGTTCAATGGAAATGAATTCCCCTATAGAACGAATAATCTTCTCCTCAAAATCACCCGTGTCCCTTATGTGATCACAATATCCTCTTCTCACAATGCAGCGATATATTTTGTAATCCTTTGGCCCGATCCTACCTATGAGGTACCGTTCACTTTCTGGGACATACGGCACTGGTATAGACTTGAACGACACCAAGATCAACACTTGATGGAATGCAGGGAGATTTGTAATGAAATGTGAAAAGAAAGCTGGGATTCCTGCTACTATGTCGGTGTAAATGAAGCCAATTCCGGGTACCCTGGAAATCCCAAGGCCTGGACTGATATCTATTAGCCACTCAGTTGATACCTTGTTTTGCAAATCAAACTCGTACTTCTTCATAGTTCCATAATGCCATGAAAGCATGACTGTCATGGAAACTACCAATAGGACAACCAGATACCACGCTCCTCTGTGGAATTGTAGCAGACATGCAGAAAGATATGCAGCCTCAAGGAAGCCAAAACATATAAGAAAGCACGCAGATACCATTAAATTCTTCTCCCAATACAGAGCAATGATCAGTGACATCAGACTAGTTGTCACAAGCATTCCACATATAATGGCCAAAGCTGTCACAAATTGTGAGCTTATATCATGATATTGTCCTGAACATGTTAACTGAACAGTATACAAGTTTCATACATTTATATATCTTTTAGTCAAAGACACAATCTCATTCACACACATACGAAGCATCATATTTTGTATGTCTCCCCTGTTTACAACTACTCGTTTTCTTTAGAAGAACGAGATGAGATATTATAATAGTATTAGTATGTCATCAACAGCAACAGCGGCATACCTGTTGCATTGCCAATTTTCACAATGTCTCTGAAACCAATTGTGACAGTGAGGCTGAAAATCATCAATAACCAGTTGACGTCGGGTATGTAAATCTGCCCATTTATAGTTTTTGATGTGTGAATAACTTTTACTCTGGGAAAGCAATTCAATGCGAGGCACTGGTTAATGATGGAGAAGCAGGCCGTTATGGTTGCCTGGCTTCCCACAGCTGAAGAAAGTAGGGATAATACTATGAACAAGTCTTTGCAATGACCTGGAATCACCAACCATCACTTTAGTAAAGTAAAATTACAGTAAGAAAAATCTCATCGAAATAGAGAAACTCGACCAACTAACCTGGCATAGATTGACTAAGATGATTAAAATCACGAGTCTTTAAATTTTTGGAGATATATGCAGCCTGACCAGCATAGCATAAAAGAAGAAGCGGATAGATCAAGCATATAAATGTAATCTACAACCACACATGATGCTCAAGTTAGTAATAATTTTCAGCGTACAGTTAATAATATTATATCAGTTACAGAAAATGTTATGCATTGTACCTTAATTGATTTCTTGGAGAAATGGCCTAGGTCAGCAAACATTGCCTCCGATCCTGCCAAAACAATGGAACATCTTGTGATATTATCAACCAAAACAATAATTGTAATTCGAACAAAAAAAAATCATAATTACAAATACTAATAACTTTGCACAGTTCTGGAAAGAAGGAGTCACCTGCTACACACAAAACGACGCTCCCTAACAATCTCCATCTGGGGATGTCAATATTTGTGATGAATTTATATATGTAGATTGGGGATATTTTGTAGATAATTTTGACGTCCCACCGGAAAACGTTATACGTTCCCACCGCAGCAACAAACAACAGCCAAGCAGCAATTATTGGTGCAAACATGATTCCAATTTTACGTGTACCGCAATGCTGCAGCATGAACAGGCCAACCAATATAACACACGCAGAGGGAACAGGCACATCTGAATAAAATAAATGAAGCACAAAGTGAACAACATAATTGAAGGAGATACATGGGCATCAATTTTCGTTTACTTTATAAATAAATATTCAATCACAACTCTAAACAGCGTGAACTTGAAACTTTTGGAAATCCATCAAATATATAAATGGAGTAACTAAACATATCGAAGTCTGTTACATAAATAGATGAAATTCAATGTTTGTTAGTAATGTTGCTCAAGCATGCAAATTAATCAATGGAAGGGACATTTCGAAAAAGATAGTTAAGTGCGCAGAATATGTGTAAACTTACATGTTAGAGCCTTTGACACGGAGTCCTGAGTATGCGGTGACGAGCGAACTGGTTATAAAGAAAAAGGGAATAAGAAGACACGTTGTGGCAATTAAAGATAATGACCTCAGAGAAAACCATGGTCTTACATATGTCGTTCAATATGTCTGTCAAGGATCTCTGAACTCCAGTTGAAGCTGAGTACACTGATTAAAACAGCCATAATATTAATATATACTCATGCAATCAGAAATCAATTACTTCTTGGAATAATTAAGAGGGAATTGTAGTTTATTATACCTGAAAGGGCTGGAGTGAGCACTGCGTCCCCAATGGTCATACAGGAACCGAAGAGGGCTAAGAACAATAATAAATAGTGACAGATCTTGTGTTTCTCGATGGCCCTTCGTGCTCTTGAATCGGCTTTGATCTTACAATGACTTTTCTCCTCGTAAAGCATAACCTCGTTCGCACTTCTCTCACATGGGAGCAGACCAACTTTTGCATTTCTACACAGCAGTGAGTATAAAGCAACAGTGCCACCTACAAAAATTTTCCATCAACATTTAATCTTAAAGGCTCAACTCATAAATATATATACATATATTTACTTTAGTCACCGGAGATAAGAAAGTTACCCTCTCCTTCATCATCAGCTTTCAACACTATAGAGGCATACTTGATCAGAGCAATTATTGTGAGTGTCCAGAAAATGAAGGAGAAGAGTTCATAAACGACTTCCTGATCTGATGCAAGATCTGTCCCATGCATTGTCCCAAATACATATAAAGGTGCAGTGCTCAGTTGACCATAAACTATTCCCACGATTTGAAATGATAGCAGAATTGTTTGCTTCCATGTTTTCTTCATAATAATATATGAACATAAAAATTACGATTGAAGGAAAACCGAAAAAGGTATGCATACTAGATCCTTTCAACATGCTTACTACCAAGATTCAACCGTAATAAATGAACAAAGAGCAAGACAAGATTCAAATAAAACAGCTATATAT